TTTCGAACTGAAAACGAATAGGACAACACTTTTCATGTTGACTCTTCTTCAACCTGTAGCACTTAGTCTTGGAGTTGGGCATCTTTGCCTCACTAAGTAAGATGCGCTGTGCCCTTTTTAGTACCTCACTGTCCGGAACGTTGTAGACAGTAGCATTTAGTTTAGCGTCGAGTCGTTTTGTTACTTCTGTAGTAACAAAGTTAATGAGGTTATCTACCTTAGATACCGATTCTGTGTCAAGTTTGTTAGGGTCTACAGTTTTCATGAGGATAGTAAGAGGTGCCAGTTCACAGACCTGCGATCTGATATCGCTGATCTGATTTGATAATTTGGATATTTTGGTATTGGTTTAAGAAATTCCAGGATTTACTGACTTATTGTTTTTTATTTCCCTTAACTCGGTTTTAAGTTCTCCTATAGACAACTTTAGAAGTTCTATTTCTGAAAATAATACTGAAACAGAGCTTAAAGGATGGAGTTTATCGATAAGCACATAAGGTGTAGGGAGGGTTTCTGTATGAGCAGAGGGTACTGAATTTTTGGGAGTAGTGCTAGTACTAGCTGTCCGTACATTTTTATCCCCAGTTTCAGCTCGACGCTTACAACATACAAGTGAGTTATGTGGCTCACCGTAGCCGCTTGTAGGAAGTAAGTTGCTTGATGTAGCAATCAAGGACGTAAAATTAGTTATCAGATTTACAGGGGATTGAGTTCGTTGCTTTTTACTTTGATTAACCATAACTATTTGCCATGAAAGTTAATGGTTACAGGTATGTTAGTAGTACAGTAGTTGCGTAAGGATTACAACAAGATAAATTTTACGTAACGAATCGCGCAAAAATGTAACGCAAACGTTGAACATACCGCGTGTTTCAATCATGTAAATGCCTAATTTATGTGGATAAAATAATATCACTATCTCTCTCCTCACTAATTAGACACCTAACGGCCGCCAAAGGGGTAAGAGTCATGTGTCAAAAGGAAGTGAGAGAAAGGTTTCATAGCACCAAGTAATACAGTTTATCCTAAGGTGATACAAAGCCTGAGAATTTATTATTTCCCACGGGTATCCAGCTACAACAACCCACATGAGGCTGACTGTAGTACCTATCGGGCATCTCTCGTCTGCTAACAGTATGAAATGTGAACTCTTATGGAATCAGAATACCCACTTCATGTACTGTTTCCAGATGTATCCAAAGTGCCTGATGACGGATTATACGAAATACTCTCCTGGACATTCTTCACAATGGTGATCGGCAACCCACTGCTGTTCTAGATCTCAGATTAATTGGTGAGTAAGGAATTTCATACCACATCAAGTCAGATGCATTCTTCATAAGAAACATCTTGTTTAAGTGAATCGTGGGGGGCTGTTTTAGCACCACTGCTACCTCTAATCTTCACTGGTAACCAAACTGCACTTACTTCACCAGCTGGTCAGCTGAAAAATAAAATTATTCCTCAACTGAATCACAAGCACCTCCCGGTACAATTGTAGATGGCACCGATGGATGAAAGCCTTTGGAACGTCAATCGGCCTGTGTGTTTTCCCGATGGGAGTGAAAGTAAGTATGAGGAAACGGAATGTTCTTACTACTTTATGGACTGGCAAGAGTACACTGACTGTAGGAAAAATGAGGAGATATAACGTAGAAGCTTTGCAAATCCGTAAGAGCAGATGAAACAGAATTGAAATCTGTGAAATGTCAACAAGTCAGTAATCTACTCACTTCATCCAGACAGCAACCACAAGCACGCTGAAGACGCTGTTATGGTGACTCCTCCATGAACACTGAAGGCCCCATGGAGAGAAAATCAAACTCCTCCAAGACCAAGAGACCAAGATTCAACTCAAAAGGAGCGTGAATCACAAATATGCGACGTTGCGCTCCTACAAACAGCTCGGACCAAAAGAACAAGAACGAATTCCATAGATGATGGCATAAGGCAGTGAACGGTACACCAGATGGTGAAATGAAAGTTTTAACTGGCGATAGGGATTCCAGTAAAATTAGGATGTGTCAGTACAAAGGTGAACTACGAAGGGAAAAGCTGAGTATAACCCATAGGTGACTCGATAAAGGGATAAAGAGTACATGAAAAGACAAAAAATGTTTTCACGACATCCTGGCAACGAAAACAAAGCAACCAGAAGGTGTGAGAGGCTTCACCGTACCATGTCAAAAAAACAGGCTACTATCCGAGAAGAAACCAGCACAGAGGGAGCCAGTAGAAGAAGCAAAGGAAATCTAGTGACCAAAGAGGTAAAGCGGAGAAAATATTGGGACGATGACTTCAAAGGACTGATGAACTAACTACCACCCATAATCGGACCATAGATACCATAACCATATGCAGAACTGCCATTTAGCACTAACCTCCAAAACAAAACCAGTTTTCGGGGCCATCGAGCTGGTGGAAGCCAGGAGAGCAGCGTGATAGAATGGAACCAGGCAGGAGTACTAAGAATGGCCTAAGATGCCTAAAAGCATGTACCAATATCACTACTAAAGCAGGTTTGGGGGGATAGGAGGTTCCCTGTCGACTGGAAGATTCACCACTTTGTAAGACTGCTGAGGGAAGGGGACAAATATGGTGGAAGAGGTGGTGCGGGGTTATGCTCCTGTCCACCCGAAGAAAGTCGTCATACGGTGCAATACCCCACCATTATTCAGGGTCCACAGCCCCCAACCAACCTCATTTATTACTGTATTGCCATTCTGGAAAGGCGAAAAAATGTCTTGAATGAAAGACTTCGTGAGGAAAGGATGAATTCGGGGAAAACAAGTCATGAAGAGATCAACTGGCAACAGTACGCCTCATCCACCAGCACAGCATAGAATGGCAGTTAGGTTTTTACCTCATTTCTATCGACACTTAGGAGGCTTTTAAAAGTGTAGACACTATGGAGTGCTGCAAACAATTATAAACCTCATTCAACAGCTATACGATAGTGCCGCATCTCAAGTGGTTCGCAACAGAACCCTCGCTGAAGCTTTCGAAACGAAGGTGGGAAAAATAATAAGTTGCCTTCTACCCCCACTAGTGTTCCCAATTGGGATCAGCTGGATAAAACGATAGACCATGGAGGGTGGGAAGAAGTGCTGGCTGGAAGATCTGGACCTCGCGGATGACATATGTCTAGCGTCACACAAACTAGAGGACTTACAGGCGGGAACCAACAGGTCAGCAGGAAAGGTAGAAGAGGCAGCACCTCGTGTGAATATAGATGAGGACAGGCGTGGTGAAGATGCCCGATCAACATCACTAGCTACCGATCATCGTTAGCGCGAGAAATGCGAACGAGGTAGTTGCTTCATTTGCCTTAGCAGTATCGTCTAAACTGCAGGTGATATAAATGAGAATGCCAAATAAAACAGGGATCAGGACAGAGATTTTTCGCTTGGATGTTCATGTGGAGATATATGGACAGCAATCAGTAGAAATAACAAGATCTGACAATTTAACGATTGGTCTAAGCCAGTTTTTATGGTTCAGGAATTTAACACAAGCATCACCTAAGGCTACTGCAAACTTTCACCAATAACCACCCCTTGTGCTCAATACAAGGAACAGCTTGTCAGAGAGATTGGGCGGACAAAATATGTCAGGCAATGAACCAGCCAAGAAATATACAGAGGGAAATGGAGAATGATTGGAGATAAGCTGAGGTGACGTTCAAGTGACACTGAGTGCCAGGTAGTCGCACGCAACCCGAATAGGAAGCATAGAGCTCGGTGTCTATGGGTAACGTGGAGCAGATCGTGAAAAAAGCCAGTTGAAAGTGATGGCGAAGAACCAGGTGGAATAGAGGCACGCCTCTGAAGTTCTATGTCCCACTGCCAAAGCAGGGAATGATAAATAGCTGCAGTCATTAACCTGAGGTTTAGTTCACTCGAATCATTCCGTTGTCGAGGTCATTGTAAAGTTGCCTGCGTTGCGCACAGCCTCCGTAGTAGTTATTTAACTTAGGCGCTGAAATGGCCTAGCAACTATTTATTCGTCACTAGTCAATTGTTTTTGTCCTTCCTCTTCTCCCCTGTCATTTTCAGTTTCGTTTTCACCATCCGCTTAGACAAATTTGTCCTACATGATTTCATCTTTGATTTTCCGTCCTTTCTACTCCTCTAATTTACAGTTCACCTACTCCCCTAGTTTAAACCAGCGTGAAGTATTGTTAGTTGATAGAATAAATACCCCTGTAGAAAGCGACGAAGCTCTGAAACGAACGACGAATTCCCATCTATCCACCGCATCCAAAAGAACTACTGCAGGCGAGCATGTAGGTCTATTGCAGTGGAGTACACTGATCTTATGGTACTATTACTCAACCTCGGGAAATAAGGAACAGGAAATCAGTAATTTCACACAAGCCGATTATGAATACATTGGCAATTGTGCCTTCCAATATCCAATATCATTTTTACGAGCTAGTGTAGGCCAGTATGATTTCTTTGCTCTCACTCCTTGCTTGTAAGTTAAAGGTTCATAGTCATCGGTAAGCTTCTGAGTATTTTGTCCCGCCACTCGGCTGTGGTAGCTCTGGTTGACTCCAAAAGAAGTGCTCTTAGGATTAATCATATGTGGTCTGCAGTGTATGGGGTGTTAAGACCGTGCTGGTACTGTTATCTTTTCACCCGTTAGTCGTCCGATGTGGTCAAAAAGAGAGACAACAATAATAACTGATTTAATTAGTTTAGATTATTTAGAATTGAAAAGAGGAAGAAAGAAAATGTATGTACAGATAGCTAATGAAGTCTTTACTTGATGTATGCATATGAATAATAATAGTGTGAGGGACGTAATAGTTGGAGCAGTCAGAAGAGTAAGACAGTGAAGCAGTAAAAACGCTAGTATAGTTGGCTTCAAGTGATTCCTTTACTAATGGGATAAAAAGGCCTATACACTGAAGACCAAATAGGATTCGAAACCTATACACGCAGCCAAAAATATGAAAATGTTTATTGCCCGTTGTTTGTCTGAGGCACTTTATGTTACTTCGTCTTAAGTATTTTTCAACACAAGTTTGCTACGTCGCTCGCCTGCTTTTTCTGGTTGCTCAAAATGGTCGAAATATTGCACCGTAACCCTGCTAGCAGAGAGCTTTTAGACAGATTGGATGACCATGCAGACTGGGTAATTATTATTTGCTGAACAACGGTTGAGATATCATCATTATTAATACTCTTAACGTTCACTAGAATTATTCTTTGTTGTCCTTCAGGTGTTATAAACTTTACGGCTTACCTGTAAAATTAATCTTTTATAGATATCTCTATATTCTATATATAACATGCAGGTCCTTACTTATTTTCTGAGCATTCATCATGCATGAAGCACAGTCAACATCATTTGTAGAGTAGTGCTGGCTACTTTGACTCAACAGCCAAGTTGTACTGGAGCGATACAATAAAGAAAATAATGACACAAATATATGAATCTCTGCACATAATTTGATACCCTTTTCATGAAATGCAGACTGTAAAGCGAAGTTAGTAGTTCAGTGATTGGCTGCATATTTTTTTTTGGCTGTTAAATTTCTCAAAAGGCTCACCAATCTTCACCTATTTGTCGTCATCACATACGTATTTAGTCATTGTTTATGTCTCTTTATTTTGCTTCGAATTGAGCTAATTTGGACTGATTCACTTCTGTGCTAAATCTTAAGTTGATTCGCTAGTTACTCAATCCATCATTCTAGTACTAATACTCATGCGAAGGAGTAGCTAATGTAATAGAATACCATTCGTGAGTAGTAAGCAACTTAGCTGGAGCTCAGTTGTGCTAAAATGACTTTTCATGTATCTGGCTACGAGATACTTGTTGTGAGGGTTAGTTAGACTTTTGGTGGAGTGGAATTGGATTTGGATGGATTTGGTGGAGTGGAATTATAAATCGATATTTACTGTATTAAAGTCAAGTACTAAAGTCAGTCAGCCACATCTACAGATAGATGTCTACATAGACCCTAGCATTATTTCACAGTAATCGAAGTTGTCATGATTGACGTAATACGCATTACATTCATAGTTGTATACTAATCTTATCTTTTGCGGACAAAAGTTTAGGTGGAAGAAATAGCATTTAACTCTGCATAGTTTATTTCTTAGAAGTGACTGGTTGCATATGTATGTGTGACATATGCATAAAATAGAAGTTTTATATATTATGGCGAGTCTCTTGTAACTGAGATGTTTGCGGAAGAATTGGAAATGTATACTAATTCGTCTTCGTTAGGTTTTATTACCTGAAGACAGACTCATGTTACATTCAACTCTTAGACTGGTAAAAATTAGTGTAAATAGTCTTTAACTTGTTGGTGAGGCTGAAATTCCGTTTACTCATTGTCTCATTTAAAATCCCAAATATCATAACTTTCTAATTAATTTGTTTCTGGAATCTATTTGTTGCTCCAAGTTATCATTTTCATGGTAATTTCCACTTTTTATGCTTTTTCGCTGTGTGGCTGTAATTCATTTTTGTCTGTGTATTCAGTACATGCACAGTAAGACAGCAGAAGTAGATGTAATCTCTCATCAAATGGTGCATTAGACTCATTAGCATTTTTAATGTAACCTCAGGTTCTTCTATAGTGACCTAACCGCCAATCTGTCGTCTTGTAAATAGAATGCATGAGCTATAAAGTATGTAGGGAATGATGGACTATCTGCAAGATTAAGAGAAGTTAGCAGTTAAGAATTCTGATTGATTCGGTAACACTTGTAGACGTAGTCAGTTTACTATATTCAAAACATTATGTTACTATCTTTCTCTTATATATGCCCTTCTCCTCAACTTTGATGTCATTTATTTTCATACTATTCTATTCTATATCTGTTGCTGTTGTGTCTATCAGTGCATTGTGTCTCAAGTTAGACCTATGCACAGGTTTGCTCCTTTCTTGCATAAACTTCTTCGTGCTGCTATATCATCCCTTTAAGCATTCAAGAAACCGTACTTATGTGTTATTGGCTTACTGACTTAGGATTTTTGATTTTGACCGAATGATTTTTTTCTCATCACCTATCTTACGCCAACTCTTACATGCCTACCCCTTCGGTAAATTACCTGGTACGCTCAAAGTCACGTGGATAGTAGTTATTTTTAATGCCATCATATAGCTACTCATTCATAGCCTCTGTCAAGCGATTCTTGTTCATTATTCTTACGAAATGAAAGGACCCCGATATGAATGTGCAATTCTCATCATCAAATTAATATATACGGAGTAGGCGTAAAACTGCCCAAATCGCACTTAATCAGTTGGCGATCAGTGTCTGTAAGTATGGTATGTGCTTTGCACCGTCTAAGTGCAAAGTACTGTTACAAGATTGGCAGGAGCCTGTACCTGCACTCACTCTTGCGGGTGAACCACTTGAAGTTGTTGATAAGTTTGTGTACCTGGGTAGTTGTGTCAGTGCTGGTGGAGTGGTGACGGATGAGATTTCCAACCGTATAATGAAGGCTAGGGTGGCATACATCAACTTGTGCCACCTCTGGCGCCGTCGCGATGTTAGCCTGGCTGTCAAAGGTCGGGTATACAATGCTTCGGTGCAGGCTGTCTTGCTCTACGCCTATGAAACCTGGCCTCTCCGAGCTGAGGATGTGCGGCGACTCTGTGTGTTTGATCATCGCTGTCTCCGCAGGATTGCTTGCGTCCGATGGCATCATCGCGTGAGTAATTCTGAGGTTCGGCGGCGTGTGTTGGAAGACAGTGGAGATCACCATTCATTGAGTGTCGTCATCTGGAAACACCAGCTTCGGAGGCTTGGACATGTGCTGCGAATGTCATCCCAGAGGCTTCCGTACAGGTCTCTGTTTGCTAGCCCTGGGACGGGATGGAAAAGGCGCAGGGGTGGTCAGTCCATGACGTGGCGTCGTGGGATGAAGGATATTTGTGCTAGATTAGCATCGGTTGGTGTGTCACAACTCCCTGGTTGGGGTCCGCGAGATAGCTCAAATCGATGGCTCGAAACGTTATCGGATATGGCCAAGAATCGTAATCAATGGCGAACGTGCTGCAATTTCCTTCTTTCTTCCCTTCCTGATGATAGTTAACGAATACTGTTTGAACTTGTTAAACATGACTGTTTTCCTTCCTGATGAAGTTCTTTATCCGTTTTCTACTTATATTTTTACTTTTAATCTATGTTGTTTTATTATTATTGTGTGGCGCATCTTTCTTGATGCCATATTGTACCAAGTTTCTCTGCGTTTAAATATATAAAAAGGCGTAAAACTCTGCATCCAAATAAATAGTAAGCTGGGGGATCCGAATAAAACAAGTGGCTTTAAAAACTGGTTTGGTCACTAGGACCCGTAGGATTATATCTATTGATGTTACTTTACTTTCTTATTGATCAGAATTCAAGTCAAAACTTAAAGGAGTAGTCCTGTCTGTTTTGATCAGGAATTGATTGTATGTAAACAGTATCTCAGCCTTTTGACATAATATTAGATGATATCGTTTGTATTCGTTTCATGAAAAATACCAGTCAGGACATTGGAAGGAAAAGAACACGAAGTTCACCAGAAATATCCTTCAAATGATTTCATTCATTTGTTCTACTCATTTTTTTTTCGTGTCGATGGCGTATAAAATCTGTGAATTAAATAAATTAACAGATAATAACAGCTTATTTGAAGATGTTATCTTGGTGAATGTAATACCAACTGAGGAAAAAGTGAAGGTTGGTCAAACTAAAACCAGGTCATAGATTCATTAACTATTCATCTGCATCTTATGAAAAAGTGCAGGTGATTTGGCTTGATTCCGTGTGGCTACTGAAATGTGGATTTGAATGTGACATGTACCGGTTACAAGTCGAATTCTTAAGCCAGTAGCCTACATATCTACGTGTATTTTATGTGATTATAATAGGTGTGGTAACCACGTCCTTATATTAATAGTGTCCGTTTAAACAGTCGAATATCATATTCAAGTGATGAAGAAAATATCTATGTTTGAAAGTAGTATCATTGTTAAGACATTATTTTGGATTATAGTGTTCAGCAACATTCCTTCATTTAATCCTTCTTCGTGTGATTCGTGGTGGTTAATCTCTAACTGACATTGACGAAAAAAAATGACTAAGAATATTGTCGTGAACGGTGTCCAAGATACCGTTTTCGGCTCAGAGAACAAACACTTCTGCATGAAGAATATCACTGATTTTTCAACTATCAGAGCTATTATTATTACTGTTTCCTTTAATTCCTAGAGGAACATAGGGCTTCAGCCGTGCGTCTCCATCGCCTTCGGTCCTCTGCTAGAGTCTTCACCTGGCTCCAAGTGTGCCCACACCTTTTCATCTCCTCTTCACATGACCTCCTCCAAGTCACCCTTGTACTGACGACCAACTCGCCGTTTTCCTTTTGGGTTCCACTCGAGCAATGGCTTGTCTAGTGATGTCACCTGATGCTTTGTTTCCTCAGAGTATGGCCAATCCATCTCCATTCCTTCCTGCCTATTTCTTTCACAATCCATTTCTGGTTGGTTAGCTCATTGCCAGAGATCTCTGTTGCTGATCTTTTCTGGCCGGCCATCTGATCTTGAGTATTGAGCGAAAACAACTGTTAATGAAGGTCTGTAGTTTGTTTGAGATGCTCTTTATGACGCGCTGGCCAAGTCTCTGATCCGTATAGCAAGTAGCACTGACTGACTTCATTTGGAGTTGAAAATCCGGATCTTATTTTTGATGGTGAGTGCTGTTGACCTCCACACAGACTTGAGAGTAGTGAAAGCTTGTCTTGCTTTCCCGATTCTTGCTTTGATATCGTCGTCAGTTCCGTTGGCCTGTAGTTGAAACGATGCTTCCCAGGTAGGTAAAAGAAATTGTTTCTTTCAGGTTCCTCCCAACTTGTTTTTTTTTTTTGTAGGTATTATTTATACAAATTTCTGTGTGTAGAGAATTTACATTTTGATTCCCAGTTATGTATAATGTAATGAGTAGCCTTGACGTCAAGCGTAAAGTGTGTGTTAAGTAAGGAAGGGAAGTCAGTAGATTAGGTGTTGTAAAGCTCTGTCGATTGAGGTAATCGCCAGGATATATGTGTTACGCATTGCAAAGCATCGCCTTCCTAGACCAATAATGTTAGCTGATATAGGAGTAAGTTGGGAAAGGGTTAGGCGTGGCGGTCAAATCAAAATATCTCATCAATCTATGAAGTCTTTAACTGTTCGTTAATCCATATTATTGGGTGTGGGGTGGGGTGGGGTTCGTGGACGGCGTGATTGCTGTCCTTGAGACTGTTGGTGATGATATGGCTCAAAACCATTGTCAATATTGCAAATGCATTCACTCTTCCCACACCCATTAAATTCTTGTGTTCTTTCTCCTGTAAATTTCTGTTCATTTTATAGTCCTTATGCATCTCTGTGTTCCTCCCATTCGTCTAGTTTATTTTTTATTATGGTTTGTAGCAACATGAACTGACACACTTTTGTACAAAGTTCTATGTTGAAACTCAATTAGTCAGTTAAACTTCCCAATTATTATAGCGTGCATCTTTTAACTAAGGCCAGCACTTTTATTCACTATGGTTTTGTTTTGTTTTGTTTTCATTTTTTCTCTTCCACAGTTGGTGAGAAAAAGTCGACGGTATCTACCGCATGTAGCAAGATTTTGTCTTGTATCAACATTTATTGAAGATGGATTCCGTTTATTAACACAATGGTCAGATCAAGTCGATTATATACAATCTGTATGGGGTATACCTGTAATATTTGCTGCATTTTTTATTCTACTCAATATCTGTACACAATTTATTGGAAGTTCACTTGTTTTAAGTCGTTATCATGTGAAAATCGGTGTTGGAATACTTATGGCCACTGTATTACTTCAGGTAAGCTTATATATATATAATTATTTTATTTTGATTATAGCTTGATTCCACGCAGTATTTTTGGTATAAGTGTGGAATTTTCAGCATGTGATATCAGTAGCCCAAATTTGCAGGCCGACCATTGATATTAGGTGTGCGTCGGCAGGAGATCGAACCCCGGACCATGTGCGTAGTCGACGAGAGTCCTAACCGCTGTGACACCGACGCATATTATATATATATATATACGGAAGAAAGAATAACTACATGTAAAATAATGATGTTAAGAAACTGACAGTAGTAATCTTAACGACACTAGACAGACAGTCTGGTTCAAAACTTCTTGGATTGGTGCCTTGTTTCGGCTCGGCCTCTCAACTTTTCACTCTTCTCTAACCCAATTATTTATCAGCTAACATCGGTCGACGAAGGTAGCCAACAACAGCTTGCTTAGCATGTGTGTGTGTGTGTGTGTAACCTCATTGACTGACTTTCCTGCCTTACCTAAAAGTCGACATCTAACCCAAATATTACTCACTATATAGGTATTACTTGACACAGGAGATAGGGCGCGAACACCCATTGTTGAAGATAAATAGTGTCTTCCTACCCTCCATTTACGATGAGCATGTCTCACAAGCATGTAGATAGACTGGTGGAACTGCTGCACAGCACACAGGTCCTTCCATCGATAGCCAGATATCACGTCCACACCAGAGATGTAATGTAAGTTGGCAAATACTAGAGGATACTTTTGTATCCTTGCCGATATTTCCTTGGCAATCAGTCCATCAGAAAGATACCGTAATTATAAATTTAGACATTGGTGTAATGTGTACGCAAAATCCAGTTACTATGAAATAAGAAATTACGTCAGATAGAGTAAGCATCTACAAATGGAATGAATCAATTAATAGACACCAAAGGATTTAAATTCAAAAAAATGTAACCAGAAGGTCCTGGGTTCAAACCCCGGTTGGTGCGTACTGATGAAGAGTCCCAAACTAGGACGAAACAGCTGTCCAGTACTCCACTGCAGGTTTTCCAATGGTTCTCTAACTAATGTCAGCTCATGATGAAATCCTGTATATAATAGGCGTTTAAGTTTTTGCCTAATTTGACCTACTTTTTTTCCCCTATGTTTAATTGATATAAGTAGTGTTGGGAACTACTCACAAACAGGCAGATTGAAGCCGAGATTATCATCAGCAGCAGTGTACTCAGTATGACTCAGTTAAGATAGCTAAATCAGTTCAAACTATTCGAATTCTGATTATAGGTAGGTAGGTAGGTAGGTAGGTTAAGTACTTGAGTGGATTGTGGCAATGCATAGACTGAAATTCGTTGTTTGTAAATTACATCATTCGAGGTGATAAACCACCACATCATAAAGTAAATAAATTCAGATCACAATATATATACAAATGTGACCATATTGGATGAAATTCCAATGTCTCTGACTTCATGCTTTAAGGCAGTTGAATCGTATAACTCATGAAATCTTGTTTGAATCAAGCGCAGTTCAGCTACGCACCTAGTAACAGTTATCGTCTAGTATTTCATAAAGTTGTTTCATAAACTGTGACCACCTTTTATACTCCCTATGCTCTTACTTAACTGCTGTGAGACAGACGTAGCGGTTGGAAAGTTGAAACTATGAAACTATGGCTAACATTGTTCGACCACATTGATGATTTTTTCTTTTAACCTATCTCTTATGTTATGTAGCCTACTGCTGTAAGTCTGTCTGTCTGTCTAGATTCAACATAGAACTTGGCACCAAAGTGCAGCACTTCGAGTTGCCACGTTCCAAATAGCACACAAAGGTAGACAAGAAAATGAGAGTGAAGAGAATCAATAGAGTTTTGACAAGTATAAGAGTGAAACAGAATGAGTAATGGTAGAAAGGAATATGCGACTAAATATTACAGAGACTGAATACATCTGCGTAGGCCATTGACAACGATTTTGAGCCATGTCACCTATTGTCTGTCTCCAGCCATTGATTCTTAGAGACCCGAGGACGGGCCCCAACCCGGAAGTCTGCATCTCCCTCCCTACCTGACTCAGTTTAACTGTCAAGGATTTCATGGATTGATGAGGCCATGTTTTTGTTTGGCCACCACTTACTCTTTTCCAACCTGCACCTATATCAGGTAGTAATACCCGTCCGTCGGGGGAGGCGACGGTTAGGCATGCGCAGCACGTGACCTAGCCATCTCAATCTATGTAACTGTATAGCCTCTTCGATTGATTTTCCCTCTTTGCCCAACACTCTACGCCTAACGTCAACATTACTTACCTAACGTGGGAAAGAGATCGTAGACATCTATGATCAAAAACAGTCAACCTTTTCATGTCTTCAACTCGTATCTGTTGTGAGTAATATGGAGGTCAGGTGTGTAGAGTGTTAGATAAGGAAAGTAAGTCGATCGATAGGCTTGTGAAGCTCTGTCGATTGAGATAGTAGCTAGGACACATGTTATGCATTGCCTAGTTATCTCATTCCTCATCGAACAATGTCAGCTGACATAGCATGATCACGTTGGAAAACAGATAAGAGTCACCAAATCGAAACTGTCTTCAACTGTTGGTTTGAATCACCTAGAAGTAGTTCCAACTGCTCGGCTGGCGTTAATGGATACCATAAGAAGCAATAGCTTCACACTTTTGGTGAAATGGCTCAAAATCGTTTTTAATAAAACAAATTCATTCATTCCATTATGGATAAGATTTTATTTTGATAAATCACACAGTGTTACACAGTAATATTAACTGATGACTTTTCGAGCACAAATTATTGCCACTCATAATCATATCAAGTTACTCACACAAGGAATGAATGAAGAAAATGAAGGAAAAAGTTGTGCGATTACCTTGATATGATTATGAGCAATAATTTGTGCTCGAAAAGTCATCAGTTAGTATTACTGTGTAACACTGTGTGATTTATCAAAATAAAATCTTATCCATAATGGAGTTACACTCTACCACAGTGCCCAAGTTTTATACTTATATCAAAATTCATTCATTGACGCACTCACTCACTCACCGACTGTCTGTGAACGCCCACCTCCTAGATTCATTAGATTGTCATTACTGTCTATGTGATTAGTCTTTCTCTTGTCTATTTCCACTCATTTAAACTGCTTTTGTATCGCTATTTTTTTCTCTCTACCTTTGTGCGCTATATGTAGTGTGGGGCAACTTGAAGTGCTTTACTTTTGTGTGCAAAGTTTCACGTTGAAAATTCACATCAAGTTCAGTTTCTTCTTAAAGAAAAAAAAGTGGTGTCAGCACATTTACCAAAGTTGTTGAGATTACACAAAGAAAATATTTTAAGGTCAACAGAGTAGATTTTATAAGACGATGAATAGTTTTATTTCTTACGAAATACAATCAATATGCTAGAGTTAGAGATAATAGTGATGACACATTTCTGAATTTTGTTCACATTTTCACAATGAGATTAAATCTGAGTTGTGCTCAACATTTAAACAGGACCTATCTATTGTTTGAAGGCTAATGGTACTTTTTCCAGACTCTTCCTCAACCTCGATGGGTGAAGTCGAGTTGGAACTCATAATCCAAATGGTTGAAAGTCAAATACCTCAGTTGTGGCCCTAAATTGTTTGATAGTAATATGCCCTGTAATTTTGAAGTTGATTAAAACAGGTTTATATCTATGTATGAAGATGCTTTTCCTCATAGAAAGATGGTGTATGAGTGCAGAAAAGGAAGAAACTTGAGGCAAAATGAACTTCTTTTTATTGATTCACCTCTCACGACATCAATAGCCTTCTCTCTTTGGATTTCATAGTTTGTGCGAGAGCTGAGTCACTGTTCGGGTGCTGAGACCAAAGCAGATGGTTGCCTTAAGGGGGCCACTCTCCCTCCCCCCCCTCGGGTCTTTGACTTAAAGTCTCATCTACATGGCAGTGGATGGTCGGTCGGTCGGTCGGTTTTCGACATCGAACTTTGCACATATGTGCGGAAGTTCAAGTCGCCACACTCCCTCCATGTAGCACACAAAGCAAGAGAAGAAAGTAGAAGAAATGTATAATATAGACAGTAAACAGAGGTGTGAGACAAAGGAATAGTAATAACGGAGAACAAAACAGTTTAATTGGAAATCATAAGTCACAAGGAGTGGATGCATCTGCGACCCGACCGAAAGCTGCTACCTTGACGTGGTGGTCGAGCTTGTATATCGCAATGACCCAACGAGCTACACTGGCTGGAACTTATGTTCCTGTAGGTCCTACCATGCCAGAAAAGTTTTTTGGATAGCGGTTAGACAAAAATCAGTTACCCAACCCAATGCTATGACTCAAAGTAAATCACAAAATATCATGCCGGATCGGTCGGGGCCCGGATTAACAACGACCGCTCTTCCTGCTGCTGTGTCACAGGGCAGAAGTGATAAATACGCTACTGAGACACACCAAATAAAAAAAGAACAAACAAAAATAGGCCGTGTGTGACCGGCTGGCTTCAAGCAGTTGTCCCCTGGGCTCTGCGGTCACGCAACCAACTTCCATGGTGTGAGCAGCCGGGAAGTAACAATCACCCTCACAATCCGAAGTGCACGCGAAACCTCTCTAATCCTCACTCATCTTTATCTTCATCTTCATCTCTATTATCTTGCCTTCCTTCTACTAATGCAACTCCTCTACTTGATGGCTCTTCACTCTGTGTGCAATGAAAACGACGTTCCCTGTAAAACATTTTAATCTTTTTACTTTAATAATTAATTCGCTATTATCACTCTAACCAATGATGTTCACCTCTGTCTACTCTTCATCTCTGTGTGTATAGACTATAGGTTATAATATCTGGACTCATGTATTCTTTATGCGTAATCTTTCATTGATTGGTAGTCTGTTACTACTATTGGCTGAAGTACAACAACAAACACGCAGTCTGTTAGCTGGTCTACCATCATCCGGTGAAAATACTCAACGACAGTATATACTACTCGGTGGACGTATATTAATTGTTTTAATGTTTGTTACATTAATTCACTTGGGTAATAGTATATTTTATGTTATACAGGTGAGTTTCTCTCTCTTTTTTTGTGTTGTTTTGTTTTGTTTCGTTTTGTTTTTGCTTTTCAAAAACTTTCATTCAACTTTTGTATTAAAGTATTACTTACTAAATTAGTCAGGTTGCGGTTATCTAAACACCAGCCCCGGCTGTTTCACTCGTTTGGAGTCGAGTTCAGCTCATCAGTGGTGTGTGTATCAGGTTTAATTCAGCCCAGAGAGAGACAGAGGCTAATCAGTAATATGGTAGTTTGATGAACAGAGCTTGACTCCAAACGAGCGAAACAGCCAGTCGATGTTTAGATCATCTCGATCTGTCTGTCTATCCGTCTGTCTGTTCTCGACACAGAACTTCGCACCGATGTGCAGCAGTTCAAAGGAATAGTGTAATAACGAAGAACGATATAGTTTCATTGGAAATTATAAGTCACAAGGAGTGGATACATCTGTGCCAGCTGTCGAGAACGACTTTGAGCCATGGCACTAATTGTCTCTAGCCATCTCGGTGTTTACCGTCCCGAGGACCCGAACCAGTCAGGAAGTCTACACCTTCCTACGTGGTTGGCTGGCTTAGACTAACTGTTATGGATTTCATTCACTGATGAGGCCATGTTTTGGCTTGACAGCCGCTAGCTCTTTTCCAGCATGACCCTATGTCAGCTAACATTGCCCATTGTCGAGGAAGCCGATGATAGTTCATTTAGTTGCCAGGGGTGTGTTCGAGCTTCCTCTTCCTTCTGGTCTTAAATAGTCCCAAATATCCTGGATTCCTCATAGTCAGAATAGAAAACTCAAGTTTTAAACTAATACGCTTTAGTTTCCTGAAAGGAACAAATTGCGTTGTTCACTGATGTCTCCCGCATCGGCGACTATTCGAATCAAAGAAATTTGTAATTCAGTTGGACAGTTGTTAGTTTCTCATTTTGACAAAATTCAAATCAGTGAGCTAAGATTAGATATCTTCAGCACTAAGTTAGCTGTGAGAAAAGATACTCACCGATGACACTGGCAGGCGGAAGCTCTGTATATGTATATGACGAGTCGGCAGACGTTATAACTCATGGGTCATGGGATTTCGTCGAAGTGGTTGTGAATGACAGAGGGGCTCACCTCGTAACCTGAAGGCAGACATATTATTATAATAGGCACCAAGAGATTCACCACACAAAACCTCATAGTTCGTGCGAAGACTGGGCATCTGCCGGGATGACCAGACGTAAACCGTTGGCTGTCTTAAGGAGCTAACCCCCCCTTCGACCTGGAGTAAAATCGACAAGGTGGTGGAGAAGCGTCATGAGCTGCGTTTACATGGTTTCTGGTGACCAAAACAGGTTCAGATTCTGGAGGCCATATATATATATATCAGCTTTTCCAGCTCCCCTAGACGAACTAGCACGCCCACCAGTCCAGTCGTAAACTCCACACATTCGTATTCTCCTTTTCACTTTCGTGAGGAACACTTCTGCCATGTGACGGCAGGGAATAGGACTTTACCTGGCTGTTAGAGGCTATGAAGGCGTGGCCGCATGAGAGCATTGAGAGAGGAAAACCAACGTCTACCCGCCCCAAGTTTTTTATAGGAGCATCTCAAGGTAAGTCCTTGGGTCTTATACCCGAGGTAGGGTCATGCTCACTATATACTGCTGAGGAGGAGTCACAAAGTAGGATAAAGTGACTTTCCGGTACTCTCTAGTTCTCCAGCTGATATTTTTGAAGTAAATGCATAAATATCAATTTTTTTGTATTCAATCACATCAATATGCATATTTTGATGTCTGAGTTCCTTCTTCTTCTTCTCCTCTCTTTTCAGTCCATCGGTAATCTTATCCTCATTCTGCTAGTTGCTATTGGTTACAAGACAAAATTATGCGCTACAGTATTAGTTCTTTGGTTAACTGGTATGAATTTCTATTATAATCGTTTCTGGTCTGTGAGTAATGATAGTTTAATGTGGGATTTCTTAAAATATGATTTCTTTCAAACATGGTCAGTTATCGGTGGTTTAGGCCTGGTTGTAGCCTATGGTCCAGGTGGTGTCAGTGTAGACGACTACAAAAAGAAATGGTAATATCGATGAAGGAATTTCGAGAAGCTGTTGACAGCAGTGATGATGGTGATGTCAGTGAGAAGATCCTCGTGATAATATAATCGTACACAATCACTCATCTCCAACAGCAGTATAACATATGTGTGTATGCGTGTGTTTTTTTTTTGGGGGGGGGGAGAAATAATACGTTGAAAATCTTTTTTCCTTTTTCTAATCTCTTCTATTTTGGTCTCTTCCTCTCTTTTCTTTGTCCCTCGTCCGGTTGCCCCACTATTTCCGTATCTTTTATCTCTACCATGTTTTTGTTGTGTACTTCATCCCACACACAAACTTCGTCATTATGCTTTTCATCAATCAACTAACCAACCAATCAGTAGTGTTTGCTGATTACCCCACTCTTAGTATTCTTCGCCTGTACGAATGAGCCTTGCTCATCTTTATTTTTTTTCTGTAATTGCTACTTCATTCCTGTCATTTTCTGTGTTTATACTCGTCTTCTCATCTGTCTCTTCCCCCCCCCTCCCACACATACATATATCTATATCTGCTATGAATCCTGTTTTCCTTGTGTACAGTATATGCGTGTATTTGTTATGTCTTTTCCATGCAGAGGAGGGGAATCCTTTTTGGTCTGTTTCTGTGTATGTATTTATATTTGACATATGTGTTAACAAATCCTCGTTTTTTGTGTGTGTGTGTGTTCCCTTCTTGTGTCTTTTTGGTCTTTTTACGCCCACCTCCTCACATTGTTTTCAAATGTTAATATACATATACACGTTGTCAAGGTCAACTTCTCTTTTTTTGTGTTGTTATCTGTTATTGGTTTATGTATGTACGTAGTGCGTGGGCGTACATACACTCGTGTTCTTCTTCTTCCTATTGGTCACTGATTCCTTTCTGTCTGTCTATCTAACTATCTATTTCTCTCTCTCTCTCACACATACGCACACTATTCCACCTACCACTGTATGAAATCATACACAGTCAACCATATTTCATAGTCAAAAAATACAATCATGCACATAGACACCTGTGTGTATTGCTGCAAAATAATCATTTTTTGTAATTTTGTTTTCCTATCCATTGTATATCAATGTAGAGTATAATGGGGGGGGGTTGAATACTCATTGAAGGTGTAAAGGGGGGGTTAGCACTATGTCACGATATAACAAAATTCCACCTACCCCCAAGAGGTTGAGTGGTCAATCAGGGTTCGCCTCGTAACCCAAGCGTTCAAGGCTCGATCGTTGTGGCGGGGGGGGGGGTTGGTCGTAAATGTGCACTACTTACTGAAGAGTCCCAAAAGGCTGGGACGAAACAGCTTCCGTCCAGTGGTTCTTAATTTTCGATGACCTCTCTAACTGAAATTGGAAACATTTATTTCCCGATACGAATTTAAAACAAGCAACAAAGGTTAATAATGCAGGATTTAATGAATTCATCAAATTTCGGTAGAACTCGTCAGCTGAATACTCTACATACACGGATATATGTACTTTTGAAATTACATTGGGAGATATAAGACTGATAAGCAAATAAACTACAGCGAATTAGTTATGCAGAAAGACAGGTGCGAATGTTTTCCAGGCCATGTTCAAATAGATAAGGGGAGAGGGAGCTTGAGTGATTAAAATTAAGATAAAATGTATTACGCCTCAATTACATCACTTAGATAAACAATTAGTCATTAGAGAATTTAACAAGAATTGCAACCAGAGGGATGTGAACGGTATTAGTTATAATAACAATAATAACAATAGTGTTGAAGTGAGTTAAGATAATGCTACTGATAAAGGATAGTTTTAAATGAATCAATAATAATAATAAGAGGTAGAATAATAAGTAAAACGTATTACCATGGTAGATTCAGAGTCACGACCATCTCCTTTTGTATATACAGAGACCTGGTTTATAAACTGGAATTGCACAAGCCTCTGCGATCGCAAGCATCTTCTTGTTTTTTTGTCAGCTGACAATAGTGAATGACTTGACAGCGTCGATATCATGTCCATAGTCCACAAGATGTTTTGCACTTTGCATTCAGCTGTTCTCAACCATTTTGGAAAATGCTCCATCATGTGAGTGGACAATCGCCTTTCTGTACGACCTGTGTATTTGCTTCCCCCCACAAACACACTCAAATTGATATACTCAGTTTGAAGTGTCGAGGATTGGCGACTGGTCTTCCCCAGATTGTTGAAGCACTGGCTTAGTGGTGTTAAGGAAAACAAGTTTTACAGCATAATAAGTTCTCGTGATAGTGTGGTGAGTGCTGTGTACTAGCCAAATTGGTAGACAGTAATTTACGTCAATATTTACGTTCCCAAGATTTGTCGTGAGAAACAACCAATCGGAAGACTGTGTTTGTTTGTTTACGTATCCATAGTAATGTACATGAAAACATATATAAATATGCGTTGATTTCCTTAATAAATGATCTGTTGCCTGACTCTTGCCTTCTGTCGTTACAATAGCTTTATCGAGTCTTCGCTTGACTACTTCCTGTACATCATCTCCTTTGAATGGCAAACTGAAATAGACAGATTTCTTTGTAACTGTTTGAATTGTTTTGCAGGGGCTAATTTCTTTAGAGTATTTATTAATGAACTTCTCAGGATATCCATTCTTAGATAAAATATCCTTCAGAGATTTTATTTCATACTCAATTGTACTGTCAGAACAAGTTTTTTCCATGCTCTATTGAACAGTGTTCTGACTAAGTTTTTTTTACACTGGATTGGAACAAAGCTCTTGAAATGCATGTACTGTCCTGTCTATGAAGACTTTCTGAATATAGATCTTTCGATTATGCCATCAGTTATTTTCGCTAGAACAACGTCTAGGAAATTAAATTAGCACGAATTCCACATAATCCGAGTCTTTTTTTAGCTTACTCCATGATTATTCCCCAATAAGCTATCATCTCCTCGGATATGTACGTCCACTTGGTTGTTTCTCATTCAAATTCCACGGAATGAAGACATTGAGTAGGAATGATCAATCACAGTGAAACTAGAGAATATACACAGACACGCTTTTACACAGTTGAGAAGTTTGTATTTAATTGGTGGATGGTGATTAGCAGTGGAATAATCCAGGATAACACGCATTTCGTCCTATTTGGGACTCGTCAGCTAGGTGGATATACCTGCATTCCCCAGTGAGTCAGTGATGATGTTCCCACCGAGGCTCAAACCCAGTGACCATAGTTTGAAACGCCAAAACGTTATCTACTAGACCACTTGGGCAACGAGAGCCACCCTACCTCTTGTGCAACGGGTCATATTAATTATTTAATTGAATTTCGGATTTTCCACCAATTAAATGACCAGACATCGTCGCAGCATCTGCACAAGAAGCCAACAGACATGTCAGTCTGAGACCGAGCACTTCGGTTCAATCAATCGATGGACGGGAAAATCTAAAATTCAATTAAGTTGAGAAGTTGACTTGTTGCTGTCAATGTTTCATAATTTGTAGATGCCTTTATTGTGATTTTCAGTTTAATTTAGTTAATAATGTCAATCTGAATGAGGATAGGGCGATAGCCACACTGTCGTCTCAAGTATAGTCGAATAGGTAGAATAAAGGCGGTCAATTACAATTTGAATTTCCTCAAGTAGTAGTTGCTTTTTTAATATGATTTTGTACTACATGCTTAGAGGAATGTGCTGTAATCATATCAGATGTTACATCTGGTTGTTTTTAAAGGTGTTTCATCAACTTTTTTTACACAGCGAGTATGTCTATTGTGGAGTTTGCTATGATGCTGTGCGCGAAAACACATTATTATTGTTTCCTTTAATTCCCAGAGGAACATAGGGCTTCAGCCGTGCGTCTCCATTGCGTTCGGTTCTCTGCTACAGTCTTCACCTTGCTCCAAGTCTGCCTACACGTTTTCATCTCCTCTTCATATGACTTCCTCCAAGTCACCCTTGCACTGACGACCAACTCACCGCTTCCCATTCAGTCGGGTTCCACTCGAGCAATGGCTTGTCTAGTGATGTCACTTTATGGTTTCCTTAGAGTATGGCCAGCCAATCCACCTCCATTTCTTCCTGCCTATTTGTTTCACAATCGGTTTATGCTGTGTTGGTTCGCTCATTGTCAGAGATCCCTATTGCTGATCTTTACTGGCCAGTCATCTGATCTTGAGTATTGAGCGAAGACAACTGTTAATGAAGGTCTGTAGTTTGTTTGAGATGCTCCTTATGATGCGCTGGCCAAGTCTCTGATCCGTATAGTAAGTAGCACTGACTTCACATTGGAGTTGAAAATCCGGATCTTATTTTTGACGCTGAGTGCTGTTGACCTCCACACAGACTTGAGAGTAGTGAAAGCTTCTCTTGCTTTTCCGATTCTTGCTTTGATATCCTCGTCAGTTCCGCCTGTAGTTGAAACGATGCTTCCCAGGTAGGTAAAAGAGGTGAAAACACCTTGCGATCACTTTTTTGTTTTAATCCTCACCTTATCAATCTATCTTGGTAAAAAAATGAAATCTCCATGTTCATGCAGCTCATTCGTTGAAGGTTCAGTTGAAATTTTAAGTCTTCACCATGAACTTTGATGCCTCAGGTTAAAAGATCTGAAAGGCTTCCTATCTCCTACAAAAAGTTTTGGGTCCAGTAAATATGATGATTAGCATTCTTTTTTTTAAGTAATATGGCAAAACACGACTCATTTGGTTGAATCACTTGATTTTCAGTCATTGGGCTCTAAGTTCGAATTCCCTGTCACTCTCTCTCTCTACTTGCTTTTCAGCTCTGGGCTTTTAGGTAATATCATCGGTCCTAACACCATACAGAATATGTGTGCAACTTATACAGCCTGGTACATATCATATCTGCTCTAGGGAAGTGAGTTCTTCAGAGAGGAATTCTTCTTATTGATAAATTTCAACAGAAATAGAAGAAACATTGACCCAGTGGGAAATATAAATCCATTTCATTTCAAAAGAATGGGTACTGAACAAAGAGTACTCTTTTCGATAACCCCTTAATCATCAGGCTCTACATTTGTATACACATTGTAATGAATGAATGAATTAGTCTTATGAACGACATTAATGCTGTTTAAATAACATCGAATCAATAATATTGATAGATTACAGCTGAATAGCATGAACATAAAATAAACTGAATGTCAGAAGAATTATGAAAGATAATAATACAAGTTCATGAGTCTATAGTTTCTACTGAGGACCGATATATGGATGATACCTTTATTCTTTGTGATAATGGTTCTGATAGGAGTACAATAATTACTGAATTCAATGAAATACATTCGGCTATGAAATTCACATGCGAACAGGAATCCCAAGACAGAATTGCCTTTCTGGATTTCCTCCTTACAAGAAAACCAGATGGTAGCATAAACAGAAATTTGCATAGAAAAAGCACTTGGACAGGAGAATATACACACTTTCACAGCTTCGTTCCTATCAACTACAAAAGAAATTTAGTGAAGACCCTCAGCCACAGAGTTAGAGCTATATGCTCAGAAGAAGTAATTGAAGATGAATTAGGCATTGTATATGATACTTTGATCGAAAATGGTTATCCTGACAAATTTATCAAGAAACACATGACAAAGAAAGCGGAAAAGGACTACTCACTATCCGTAAACAAGAAGCCTTTATATATACGACTACAATTCAAGGCGATATACCAAGCGAAGTAATTACGAAGAAATTAACAAAATCAGTTCAAAGGACTTTTAATGCTGGCGAACTACACGTATTATTCTCTACACGACCGATGGTGTTACCTAGACTGAAAGATGAAGTACCCAGAGTGGCCACTTCAAATTGTTTTAATCAATTCAACTGCGCTTGTGGAGCGAGTTATATTGGCCGTTGCTCTAGGAACTTGATTTTTCGTGCTCGAGAATATATCCCGCTATGGCTAAGTAAATGTGTAGTCAAAACCATTAACAGTTCGATATTGGACCATCTAGTGCAAACCAGTCACAAAGCCAGCGTTCAAGAATCCTTCTCTATCATCTACTGGATGCCTAACAAATTACCAAAATCATCGAAGCACCGCATGC